CCCTCGGCCTTCCCTTCACACGAGCTCAGCCTCTGCCTATTACAGGTGAACCCCTACACGGTGGTGGCCTGCTCGGCCTTCCTGCGGCGGGAGGCCGTCCAGGTGGCGTTTCTGTTACACCGCCCTGGCGGCGGGGGGGCCGGGGCGATCCCACGGCTGCTGCGGTGGATGCTGTGCCAGGCCCAGCGGCCCGCCCCTCTCGCCTCCGGCAGGAGCGGGATGGAGGAACTGATTGAAGTCTTGGAGGCGGTTGCCGTGCACGGGGCCAGGCGGCGTCGTGGCGAGGCGATCCGAAGGCTCGCCGCCGCCTTTTTCTACAGCTCTGCTAATCCCTCCGGGCTTCTCGATGTGGCTTCGTCTGAGCCCTTGAGCGCGGCGAACGGGGGGGTGGGTTACTTACCTCCACCCGCTTGGCTTGTGGAGGAGTTGCCGCCTTTTTTAAGTGTTGACTGCACCGCCGAATCGCACAGTTCACCTTGGCCGGCATCATCATCATTATTGGGGTCTTCTCCACCACAAACTGTCACGTTGTCAGAATTCACAGAAGGAAATTCAACTAAAAAATTACCAGGCAACTTCAAACAAACCATCAGGCGGAGCGGAGACTTTTTGACAATGCAGGAGGTACGTGAATGTCTGCTGAACCCGCTGTCGTCGACGCAGCTTGCGGATTCTGCCCTTGATTTTTATCGAACGCACTACACCCCAGAGGATATGATTACCGATATTTTTTTTCACGACCCCTGCTTTCGGAGTGTGAAGAAGACGATGCAAGAGGTGTCGTTTTGCCGTCGGGTTCTCATGGCCTACACTCGCGCGCTCGTGCTATCTGATCCTGCCCCGCTGCTGGAGCAGCTTGTTGAAGTTCTGCTTGATCTTCTCTTTCTTCCTCACGAGAACGGAACCAACTCCCAGAGCTCTCTACATTGCATTTCATCGGGTTCTGCTTTGCATGCGTATGATAATGTTGATTCTTACGAAAGCGCATGTGCACAGCTAGTGGGGGGAGACCACGAGGGCGTCGATTCCATGACGGCGTCCTCGTGGTACCTCTACAGCAGCTTTCTACAGGAGCTGTTGGATTATCATCAATATAGTATAAATGCTTCAGATTCCGCGCGCATGATGAGGAGAAGAATGACGTATGATATCAGTGGTCAATGCAGAAGCCTATTGCCAGAAACCCCAAGGATGGCAAAAGTGATCTACGAGGTGAGCGTGAACCTCAGATGCAGTGCTGAAGTGGAAAATGATACCTTTTCCAATTTTGCATTGCTGTCGTCTAGCCGAGAGGATGAATCAAATATGTACTATACACATTTCCAGCAGGATCGCGAGCGATGGTCAAGGTATCTGTTCCTCCTGAGTTTTCAAATGTGGACGCGACTGGGAAAGCTCGACATTGCCGCTGAGGCTGCTTATTACTTTTTCAAGTCGCAACCAAATCATGTTGTGCACCTCATCGCGGACGTCCATGACGCAGAACACGTTTCCGAATCGGAATGGATGGACGCACTATCTGTGGTGCTCTGCTGCGCGGCCGCCGTTTTTTTCGGTCAAAATGACTATGAGATCTTAGGCTTCCAGGCAGGCGGAGCAAGGGGTAGTGAGGGATTCCCTGAAGAAAGTCTACCTGTGGCTGCGGTGGCCAGTCAAGTGAAAATTGGAGTGGAAAAGGTTAGATATTTCCAAGTGATGGAAGATTTTCAGACTGTGGAGCAGCGTCGGACCGCACAGGAGTTTACCGCGTACTATGAGCAGGTTCAGGGAGCATTTTTTAACTATTGCGGTGGTGGTATATTACGTGAGGAATACAACAGGAAGATTTTGGATCCTTTTAAAGTCCTGTACGATCATCTGCTTTCTCGATTAATACAAACATCAGCATTAGAGGATGTGAAAAGAGCAGGTTGGGATGATTTCACGGGCGGAATGTGCATTATTTGACTTTGGAGGATGACAATTTTTATTTACTCACAATTGCTTCATCTGGGTGCGATATTTTCCTTTTATGGGTTATTGTTCTTTATTTCTTCAGCTATAACCTTATGCTCTGAAAGTCATAGGGGATGAACAAATATACATGCACATGCATCTGGGTATGGTACCCTTAGTTTAATTAAAGTTTGATGGTTTATTTTATCCCCCTCCCTCTCTTTTGTTGATTATTCCAACAAACTATTCTATGTTTTCTTTTCTATTTTAATTATAGCGAAAATAGAATAATATTGCCTAGTAAAAGCACCACTCAGAAAATACAACTTACAAACAGGTTAGCCAGTCAGTAACTCGCTGTCGAGCTTGACGCAAGATAGAATCATAATCATCATACCTGCTTCTGTGCCGGCATTTTATTTTCATAAGAAAACAAATAAATAAGTTTGCTATTATTATTATTATTACCATTTTCTACACATCGCCATCCTGTTTATTAAAACTTACAAAGTTAGATTTCTTACTTCTCTCTCAACGTGACAGTGGGAGAGAGAGGGCGTGAGGTAAGCATTTAAGTCAACTTCGATGGCGGGCAGTCGGCGGCAAAGCATGGCCCAACACTTCCCCACCTTGTCTACACCATCCCCCGGGTTGGAGGGATCCATCCCGATTTCCTATCATTCTCAGCGCGAGATGCTGAACCTCCCCAACATCTGCGATACGACGAACCTATCGAACGATGTCGCCGCGTTAGGTTCCACAATGAATGGTGCCAATGCTAGCCCCCGCTCCCTTACCTTTGGGCGCAATAACATCATCACTCAAGTGGAGGACTACAAACGTATTCTTGACTCCGTAGGCCATTCGAACTACGCTACTATCAAAAGCCTCTTCGATCCCAACGAGCGGCATGGTATCCCGCCCGAAATCGTCCCCACAGTACAAGTGTCCTTTGAGTTGTTTGAGGCTGTGCAGAACCGACTTGCCGCAACACGGAAAACCCTCGATCGCACCAAGGGGGATTTATTTACTCGCAACCAACAATATACACTCCTGCTTTCCGAGATGCAGACTCTCAAAGACGAGTACGCGACACTTCAAAAGCGAACCGTCGCGACGGAATCCGGCAATTTGAGTTTGCACCAGCAAGTCGCGAAACAAGACGTGACCCTTGAGCAACTGAACAAAGAAATCGGGCAGGTCCATCTTGAAATGGACATGCTTATTCAAAAGCTGAAACGACGAGACGAAGATTTGCAGAGCGTACGAAACCGCATGGCGGAGGGGTTGGTTTTACTCTCCCAGAAGGATAACGTCATTTCGGCTCTTCATCGAGAACTGGAAAAGTATACGCAATCGATTACAAACTTCGGTGATAAAGATTCCGCGCTAGCGATGTTGAACACGGACTCCAATTACTCCGCCGAGATGCTGCAAAGCATCACGGACACCGTTCACGGCCGAACGGAACGCGCCCGGATGAAGCTCAGCGTCGCCGATTTAGAAGCCAAATTACGCCGACTCGAAGAGGAAAAAGACTCCATAGTGTCCCAGCAAGACCGTTATCTCATGCATGTCCAGAACGTCATTTCGGTGCAGGAGCAGCAGCTGCTCGAGATTGAGGACGCGCTATCGGCGCACGTGTGTCCGTCGGCGCCGGATCCTTTAAGTTTGCCGTGTTATCCCTATTCCGAGCTTGGCCTCGTGGATGCCGAGGGGTTGGCGGAGATTAGCAGCTTTTCCGCCCTCTTTGAGAGGTTTCCCGGGGTGCTGGAGCCGCTCCAGGACCTGAGCTTTGACGGCTCCTCCCAGACAATGCGTGAGGGGTTGGAGGGTTGCCTGGAGGCCCAGCGCGGGTGTCTTCTTGTGTCACAAGATCTCACCCGATTCCTTAGTACTTTTGAACGGGGTGTGAATGGGAACTTCCTGTCCATCTATGAACTCCGTGAGGAATGGGGGAGGTTGCAGCCTTCTCACTTCGCGCAGAAGACCGCGCAGGCGCTTCAGCGGTGTACCAGCAACCTCGTCAAAGCCCTCTTACAGATGCTCGAGGAAAAGCAGAGGCGTTGGGAGCCTTTGGAGGAGCGGAAATCCACAACCTCTTATTCCACTCGAAAGAGCAAGGACACGGGAATAAGCTCAGAGGCGGGTGGCGCGACTTCCTTGCGTTCGGGCAGAGCGAACTTGACGTCGGCGCGCTCGATGACGAAGAAGTCGGAGTCCCAGTCCAACAGTAGCTACCACAGCGCTGTGCCCCCACACCACGACTTCAACCACATCGTGCAGAGGGAGGACTCCCGGGTTAGTTGGCAGTCTACCGTGGACCCAGACTTCTCCCGCCCGGGATCAGGCGGGAAAGAAGGGTGGGCCTCGGTCGGCGCGGCGAGTGTGCCCATGGGGGTGTACATGCCCACCAACTGCCCGAACTGTCATACTTCGCTGGCTGAATATGAGGTGAGAGGGACAGAGGTGAATGGGGCGCGTTTGGGCTCGGCGGAAGCAGCCAGTGAGATGGCCACGGGTGTGAGTAAAGATGATACGAACGTTTCGGGTGCCTCTAGAAACCGCCTCTTTCATCATTCTTCTGAACCAAAGGCTTCTGTGGGGGATGCTAATGAGGACAGCTTACCACTTGTAAATGAGAGTCCTAAGCATGATTCCATAGCTTTGAATGCCAGCGCTACAATCTCTGCGAGGGAAATAACAGATAGGGATGGTCCGACTTCCTGCAGTGAGAATGACAAGGATATTTTCAGCAATCCCATACCTTTGAGAAGCTCATCAGGTTCTATTTTGTCTAACAGTGTTTCTGTGAGAAAAGACAACTCTAGACCACATACCAGCCACACAACCACCTCTGCGATGCATTCGAATCATAGCAAAGGACGTTATTCAGTTCCCACTTCCAGAATAGGTTCATTACAAGTCATAAGGCGTGAGCAGCTCTCTGGCGATGACCAGAAAAAGTCTGAACTTCTTGCTCAACAGTCTTCTGATACTGTTGGGACCATCTCACGGGATCACCAGAGGGTCGATACCGCGAAAAGCATATCCCGAGCATCCTTGAACTCCCTTCGGACTGCCCAAGCGTCACTGCCCTTAAATAGTTTTAGAATTCCCTCTGCTCACTCTGAGCGCCCAAGTTCAGTGCGGAATTCCCAGCACAGATACTCTCTTCTTAGCTTGGACGACGCACCACGATTTTTCGAGAGCGAGGATGGTCAACACATGCTTAGGCTGCTCTCGACTGTACTGAATGTTGATACAAGTTCTAAAGCGTTCACGCGTCCGTTGTCGTCCGCGCTTAGAATCCGAAGTATTTCCAACGCCGACAACTCCGATAGGGACATCCCAACAACGACGGAGGTTGTCCCCGAATCGAAGGATAACGCAGCTTCGTTGGTCAGGGAGCGGGCTTCTTCTACCATTTCGCGTACTTCGCGGGGGCACTCAAACGACGTGGTCGTGCAGCTGGAGGATCGAATGATGGCCTACGCCATGGAGATCGACATGTTAACGCGGGAACTAGAGGAATTGCGTGATTTCAAAGCTCGTGTCGAGGCCGCGGGGCCATTTGATAACTCCGCGATATTGGCCGATGCGGCTTCGGAGATCGAGAGCGGTGGGAAGCGGGGTACTCTGAGCAGCGAGGACTTCCGAGGCTCGGAGCCTCCCGTCAGCACAACCGGCTCCAGGTATAGAGAAATGCTGTCAGGCAGGTCCCATTCCTCTATTATTCATCTCATTCCATCCAGTTTACACCACGCCGAGAGGTCGTTGCCGGGGACCTCGACGGATTATGACGCCCAGAGACGGCAGTCCACGGAAAGCTTGCAGTCCAATAGAGGCATCGGCCTTACAATTCGTAAACTTAGCATATCCGTTCCAGATAACGCTACGTCACGGTTGAGTCTTGGGGTAAGTTCTCGTACCTCGAGGACGTACAGCACGGATGTTACTGGGGAAAATCGTAGCCAACGGCATCGGGTTAGGGACTCCCTAGTCTCCGCCAAGTTCAGGGAAACGTCCGCGAAGCAGCCAGTAGCTCGCAATGCTAAAGGTGTTTCCTCTATCATCAAAGACCCCCCCTCCACTACCAAAAGCACTCTCCCTACCACGAAAGGAGCCCTCCCCACTACCAAAAGCGTTCCTCCTACCACGAAAGGAACCTCCCCCACTACCAAAAGCGCTCCCTCCACCACGAAAGGAGCCCTCCCCATTACCAAAAACGCTCCTCCTACCACGAAAGGAACCTCCCCCACTACCAAAAGCTCTACCCCCACCGCGAAAGGAGCCTTCCCTAGTACAAAAGGTGCCCCTCCTAATATCCAAGACATTCCCCCCTCTCCCCCTCCCAACAAAGGGGCTACCCAACGTCAGAGGATGCCATCAATCAATCCCGGGGCCGCTATTCAGGACTCTAAAACCTCGCGGCAGTATACGGCGCGGTCCACGCCACCAGTTGCGGTCTCTCAAAGGCCCACCACTTCTTTGCCTAACAACCGAACCCTGCGATCCTCCAGGGGGGTGGCGCAGGCGGTCCAACACCGCACCAGTTCTGGACCTCATCCACTTTCAATGGCGAACAACACCCGGGTTTATCCCAATACTACAGATAAAAAGAGCTATTATATGTCCTCGGATAGCCTCGCGCAGCCGGGATTCCAACCCACCCAGCGTGGTGTTTCTCCATCTTCCACTCCAAGTCATGATCCTTACGGCTTTTCTAATGTTATGGTGGTGGGCTCTCGGGTTAGGGCGTCTGACTCTTCTCAAATGCTTCCCCAAGCTGTTGAAGAACGAGGGGGGCGGGTTCCGCCGACGGTTCCTTATGTCATGCCTAATTTTCGTGGATTGCCGCCTTCGGTTCGCTCGAACTTCCACCATCCGATACCAAAGGTGCGCTCGGATGAGCTCGAACGATTGAATAAGAAAAATGAGCCAAATCTTTACACGACGCGGAGCTTTATCACCGGGACTGAGGGGACCCACATGACTACCAATGACCCGGAGGCTGATACTCCCGTAAACATAATTATTCATTCCTTATCCTTATCTCAATCGGCGAATTCGGCCTCATCAATGATGCCCGGGCCTATTTCTGTGCGGAAGGAGGAACCTCACCCCCCTGCCCAACAACATCAGGTCCCATCACCGCGCCACCCGCCCATGGATCACCACGATGGAAGCGTGGATGCTCTGGGGCGATCGATATCCCTTTTATACACCGCACCAGGTCAGAATCTTGAGGATGACAAGAGAATTGAAGGCGCAACGATTGTATCTCCTCGAACTAAACCGGCTTTCAGGTTCGCCTCGACCCACAACTACTTTGCCGAGATCCAAAACCAAATAATAGAGAACTTCCTTAAGGTCCCGGAGAAGCTTTCATCAAGCCACAAGTTCGCGCCCTTCCCGAAGAGGAATCTTAACCCACATTTGCCTTCACGCCGGTTTATGTTCAAGCCACGACGAGCCTTGTGCCGACCCAAAATCCATTTAGCGACGGGATTTGTGAACCCTACTGGTAATATTTGTCCAGGCCAGAATATTGATTCACCTTTTAGGAGAAAGAATCGTGGGGATAGCCAGGATTTGATGGCGAGAGGATTGAGTTTTAGACCGTTGACCGATCCAGGAAGAGACACTCAGTTGGAGGGTCCTTTAAGACCTGGTTATGCACTTAGAGGTATCGCGTTCTTCGGCCGCCGTGATCTTCCGATTGGAATGCATAATCGTTTCGAATCCCGAGGATTGGTAGCTTTACTGCGAAGACGCATTCGGTGGCTGAGAGAGCAGCAAAGAGAAACTATCAAATCCAAGAAGCTCACTCCTCATGGTATTTTGTCTATTGTCAAGCCGTACTGTCTTTTGGATCCGCGACAAACGACGACGTCTTTGTATATGCTTCGTCGGATGCTGCACTCGCGCCGGTCCCGCGCATCTGTGCCGTTGGTCGCGAAAAGGAAGGATAGAAATATTCGATGGGGTGGTGGGAAAGTTGATAATAATATGAAGAAATAGCGTCGTTTGCTTTAGCACATGTATTGTATAGTTTAGACAGACAAGTCAAGAATGTCTACGCCACAAAAGTATAAAATGTTTCCAAGCATAAAGGAAGTGATATGGATGCTTACTATAAATATTTTTTATACCAGCTCTTCATTGTACTCTTTTTGAAACAATTATCTATATTTTATTTTACTTTACCCGAACGAGAGTGGTGGCACTGATATCGTTTACTAGCGCGGCGATCGTTTAGTTTGTATGATGATGCTATGTTTTTTTTTAATTAAGCATGTTCTGCTAATAACTCAGTTTTCTTTCTTTTTGATTTAATTTTTAGTGTTGTGTACATATTTGTTAATCTATACGATGTAGTCCCGTTAGTCAATTTTCGTCTGATTGTCTATTTCATATTTAATTTATCTATATGTATATATATATATATATATCTATAGAATATATAGAGGTGCATATGGACATTTAAACAAGGACAAGCAACTTTACGAAGCAATCATGTAATTGAATGTACAAATAATGAATTTATATTACAATTTGATTTACACACGGAGCAACCTTTTATTTTTTTAGCTTTCTACAATGCAAGAAAGTCCTTGCTACATCATCTGCTGCTATCCTTTTTTCCTATTATTCACTAACAGCATTTCTTCTTTTTCTTTATTGTTTTATGGGTATACTTCCATTTTATATTATAGCCATCTTACATTGACAAGGTATAGGTTGTGTTTACCTCAAGTTATTGTTTTTATCTCACTGCAACGTGAAGCACATAGCACGTACAAAGGAGCTCTTTACTTACCAACAGCACATTTTTTGTTTCAATTAATATATATATCTCTATACCTATTAGCGATAACTTCAAATTCTAGTTTGTGTTCTTCTCATCTTTTGGATTTCAGAAACGAAATTGGCTAATCAGTAAACCAGTTTAATTCACTTCCATATATTTACTTATTTTTACATAATAAATACCTCCAACAATCCCTGTGAAAGAGTGACAAAACAATAAAAAATGAGTGTCTATCACAGCCACATGAGCTCCTTCCATATGGATGATGAGGGATCTCAGAGTCTCTCGCAGATACGCGCGCGGCATGCCATCCGTTTGGATTCACAGCCTTTTTTTGGAGGTGAGGACAATGTCGAGGATGTGCCTGTCTGCTCTAAGGGCGAGCCCTCCACACCCGTACAAGGTATGTTGGCTGCTCGTGATACTAATGTGATACGACAACCAACCATAAAGTCATTATCAAAGACTTCAGCCTCTCCTTCTTTCGGAGAAGAGCACAGCCGGAGCGCCCACGCAGCAGGGGCCTTCCCTGTTCTAAACCCACCGCTTCTCCCGGTGAAGGCGTTTACCACGAATGCGCTTAATACCGGCCGAGCGGATCCTTCTATCTCGCGAAGCCGCGAGGCTTCCTTATCCTCGCTCTTGGATCTCCGCTCGTTTTCTCATTATCATGTGAGTGAAAAACCAGCGGAGGGGATGCGCGTTGGAGAATCTCCTCGCTGCGTGAACGATGAACTGCTTCTGAACGAATCTACGGTGATGGAGGTAGATCCAAATGTTGTTGTAGAGGCTTCTGTCGGAATGATTGCGCCTATCCAAAACACCGTAAATGACGTAGAGGACGCTTCAACCTTCAACAACGAAGGTTCGTTAATTGCGCGGCGACAAAAGTCATCGGTGCCGCGGTCGCCTGTACCGCGCACGGATGCTGCTTCATTCTTCAATTCCGAGAGGTTATTTTCTCCGAACGGGAAGGATCCAACCCCCACCATCGCCCATCTCGGGGTGCTTGGTGAAGCTGCCGGCGTCCGTGCGAACGCGTCTCTCTCCATGGATTTTGAAGCGAAGCATCCAAAAGATCCCACGTCGGTCAGTAAGGACCCCCCACGGCCACTCTGTCATCCCCTTTCGGAGCCCTCGCGCGTTTCCTCTTCCACCCCGCTGCGGCGCCGTTCCTTTGTGTTACCGCGTTTTCCTTTTCCGAGTGAGCGTCCCTTGGGGGAGGGGTATTTTCCCCTTGAAACCCGTCTCACCCCCCCAGCCGTAGAAGGCGATGGGTCGGGGAAAGGGGCCCGCGTTGAGGGCTCGCCGGTGCCCTCCGCCACCCCCGCCGGTGTCATCACCGCGCGGGTCACAACCCCGGCGTCGTCGATCTCGCTCGAGCTCACGCCGCCAACGAGGCATTTCAGCGGGGTTGAGGCGGTGCGGCAGTTTCATTCTGCCGTCCGCCGCGTGGCCCACGCGCTACAACCCGGACAGGTCATCGAGGCCGAAAAGCACGCCCCCCTTGCGATGAAAGGGGACAATTCGAGGACGCCTCCCCACCCCACGACGTCCCCCTTCGGGGGGCCCCCGCGTCGCCTTGCCTTTCCCCTCCCAGCATCCCAGCCTGAGGAGGCGGATGAGTGCCCTCTGAGCCCGTTCCCACGTCCTGTGGGGGGGGCCGAAAAGGCGTGTGACAGCCCCCCCCCTCGGACCACCTTCAGACAGGCCTGGACGAGTGGGCCCTCGAGGGCATCCCGCGGAGTTGTGACACAACACACCCAACCGCCACCATCCCTAACGCGTTGCACCCGGGGACCGCTCCAGCGGCGGAGCTCGCGAAGGTGGAGAGAGGGCTCGATTGCCCCTCTGCTCTTCAAGACAGTGGCACGGCGCCGGGTTCGTCTTTGGTGTTGTCGCTTTCCTCCGATGTTTCACCCCAGAAGTCCTCACCTTGGATATCCTACCGTGGAAGTGATGGCAATAACTTCAATAACAGCAACGGCAGTATTACCGCTGCGATGAGCTCAATGGTTTTGGTCCAGGGTGAGACACCGACGCCTCTACGACAATTTGGATTAGAGCCCGCAGACAGTTCAAGAGAAGCGCGTAAAAGCCCTTTTTTTACTGGCAATGATCGCTCACTGCAAGAACTAAAGCATAACATCAATGAACTTGAACGGATGCGAGAGACGGAGGATAACAACAACGTTCGTACACCTACGATGGAAAGTTTTATTTCATCACGAGGCGAAAAGGTTGTATGTGAAGAGGTTGCCGATGACATGTCGTATAAAATTCTGGAGAAGTCATCTTCTTCGCCGATATCCGAACTGCCCGACCTCACCCCTTTCCTTAAGAATAGTAAATTAGAGGATAAAGCCCCCGAAAAGCTACGGAAGAGGGTGGATGCAGTTGTTTCGCCCCTTTTGAAACCCCCAAAAGAAGGCTTTCAACGGATTCGGCCAACCCCGACGCCACCCCGCCACCCACTGGATGTTATTCAAGAGAAAAGCGATCCCCCCAAGAGGGATTCTCCAAATGCAGTATCATCTCTCCTTGACACCCCCTCCGAGCGCATCAGCGTTGAGGTGAAGGAGCTGGTGGAGCGAGCGCAGATCGAGGTTCGCCGCACCCGCGAGAGCCTTTTGAACTATTTGTCAACTCACAAGAAAACCGCCCTTTCTAATAAAGACACAGCTGCAGTGAACGATCCTGTGAGTTTCGATCTTTCAGCCTTTATTCAACCTATTGGAAAGCACACGTTGGAAATCGAGCGTGGGGAGGGGGTTGTACGGCGTCGTTTGGAGCCTGACAAGCTTGCTGAGGGTGTAAATGAAAAACCACTGCCATTGCTGCTTGGTTCCACCTCTGAGATCCGAGTGCGCCTGCGCGAGAACGCCGGACGGATTCTTCGCCGCCTGCAAGGTTACGACCGACGTGATCATGGAGTTTTGCCGATGGAGGTTATTATTTCGGTCATCTTCAGCATCTTACACCCGCAATGGCGAGGTTCCTCCCCGGAAAGAAGGGGCAATCCTTTTGAGAATCGTGGTAGCATTTCAGAAGCAATGCTTTCTCCTCCTCCTGCTCTATCCTTTCATCATCAGGATTTCAAGCAAGAGGAGCACACAAAGCGCCTTCGCGGAGAATTGAAAGCTGCAGGACGTTCTGCTACGGTGTTATCGCCTACACGGACGTTGGAGCAAGTGATGGCGCGCTGTGCAGACCCTAAAGAAGAGGCCATGCTGGACTTTTACCAGGTCTTTTTAAAGGGATTTCAGGAGGTGTTTGGGGAGCGCTACGCGTGGCGGCATCTGGGCGTTACGAATGCCAGTCGGCATGACATAATGACTCTTCCCCTAGCAAAAGGAAAGGGGGATGGACGGTGTGGTGCCAATAACAAAGGAAATTATGGGAGAAAGATCGTAGATTTGAACGATATAGAGGGATCCTTAGAGGAAGTTTTCCCGAGGTTGCGGCAGCACTATTCATTCAAGAGTGATAGTTCAGGGAGGGCCGTAGACCCGCGCCGACCGCCTCCTTTGGATACACTGGTCTATTATAAACGTTTAATCGCAAGTCTAGAGGAGCTCTGATGGTAATGTAAAGTCGAGAATTTAAGAAAAGAATATCCATTTTTTTGATGTTGCTGATATTTGTAGATGCTCTTTATCTCAATGAGAATAATTCACTATATACATTATCGTCATAGAAAAGACATCTTCTTTAAAGGCACTTATTTCCGTGTTTCTAGTTTTTGTATATTCGTTGTGAGAGAGCAGAGTATGCGATGAATACTTTCTTTAAAATGGAATTATTATAGAAAGAACTTATCTTTAAAAAAAAATTACTGGTATAAAATCCTACACATTAAGTCAGCTACTGGTTTGTTCATTTTATATTGAACCCCAGTACGTTGCCTTTGAATGAGAAGAAAACCCTAGAAAAAAAATCCAATACAACATAGATAGATGCATAATTCATAGGTCTTGTCATAAGTGAATTAGAAGTTATCGTAGTTTTGGCAGACCTACAAAGAAATAGGAAAGTCATATCTTTCTCTTCATCATTTTGTATATCAATATCTTCTACTTTGCTTAAAACAAGCATATCTAATGAACGAATTTTATAGCTAATACATTTTTAGTATTTATTGGGATAAAATCAATCAATGCAAAAGATGACAAGCCTCAACAACATTTCAATGTCGCTTTTTTTTTTTGAACAGGCGAGCTTAATGAATCTGAGGTAAAATTTCCTCTTTTTCCCCTGTTCGCCATGATGCATTATTGTAACCTGAAAATCAAACATCTTCCTTTAAATGTTTTCTTTCTATTCCACGCTGTTTCTTTTTTCCCGATGTTATGTCTACGGATCCAAGCCAAATTGCCAGTCACACGAGCGGATTACGTGGCCAGTAAAAAAAAAAGACCCTAACGCAGTTCGACCTTATCCAAACCGAGCTTTATCCCCCCTCCCCCCTGTGTTCGGTTGATAATGTCCCGCGTTGAGCCCAACCCCGACTTCAACCCCTCCAACCACAAAACGGAGCTCAATCAGTATTGGTACTCTCCCAAGACTATTTCAACTTTTTTACGGGAGATCGAACATCACGCGGAGGGCTGCGCGTTTCTTTCGACACCGTCACTTTTTTTCGCCCTGGACGACCGCCACGGCGACGAGGACGACGCGACGGATGCGCGGCTTCGTCGTCTTCGCGCCCGCAGTCGGCTTTTTGAATTTGACCTTCATTGGGAAAGGGACCCTGGGTTTGTTCACTACGACTTTCACCACGCTGAGCGGATTCCAATACAATATATGAACGCCTTTGACTACGTGATCGCCGATCCACCGTTTATCACTCGTGATGTTTGGGAGGCGTATATGATTACCATAAGGCTGGTGTTGAAGGAGGGGGGAAAGGTTCTCTTCACGACGACCCTGGAGAACCACACGATGTTGGAGGAGATGTGGGGGGGGCCACTTTTTATTGCGCGTTTTTTCCCGCTTGTGCAACGGCTGACGTATCAGTACGTCTGCTTTACGAGCTATGAGGCCACGCGGCTGACGGCCGCCAACGAGGAGCTCCCTCCGGAATCACCAAAGTTGTTGGCCGGAATCGAGATGGCGAATAACCTCCGACAGTCCGAGGAGGCTTTTATGGCTCAGATGGCTGAACGTCAGCGTGAGGGGGAACAACCATTACCAACCACCGCGTATGAGCGCGATTTGTGCGCAAAGCGCGCGGAGGAAATACGGGCATCAGCGTGTACTGGGCTCACCGCGGAGCAGCTTGCGCAAATCCCGATCGAAAATCTGGAGTGGAATCACGTCCCCGAGGGACTTTCTTTATATCCGGCGGGCCACCCCGGGGATGGCTTTCCCGCCGCGAATGGGGGGTGCCCCAAGCTGGAGGAGGAGCAGGACTACGGCCCGATTTACGCGCTCAGTGTGGAGCTACGTCAGAACCTGGAGACGTTTAAGAACCATATTGACGCCTTGCAAAAGGTACTGGACCTCCAGATGCGACTTCGTCATCAACGTTTGCGGGCGCGAAAGGAGCTGGAGGGGGGGAAGACCGCCACCGATAAGCAGGAGGGGTATGAGGGCACTCAGTCACGCCCCCCGATGGAGGATTTTGAGAGGGCGCTTCGCGAGTTTGATAAGCAAGTTGAGCAGGCCGAGACCGAGCGCCAGGCAAAGGTTGATCATATGGCTGTTATCGCCCGCACCATCGCCGCGCAGGAGGCGAAGCTGCATTCCCTCAAAGCTCAGGACGCTGTGCCGGCTGAAGCGGAACCCGAGGCCGGTTCCATTCCAACCTCGGAGAACCACAGCGGGGATGCGGTTTGCGATGCTAAAGAAAATCCATCATTTAGTTTGCCGTACGGACTCGCCATGCAGACCTGCATTACGGCCTATCGGACTGTGGCAGTTAAAAAGATGCAGCTGCAGGAACTCGCCGCGGTTGCTACTGGAAGTTATAAATACCCATTGTTTTGTCGTATGCGAGAGCTTTTACAGGAAATAAAGGAATTAAAGAAGCAGAGGAATGGGGGCCTTCGCGCCTGACCGACCTACGGAGAAGTGTAGATAGAGCGCGCGAGGATGGGGATGAGAAACCAAAGGTCCTTTCAAAAAAAAAAGGTGGGCTCTATTCGTCGCGATGTGCTTGTTTCATCTTATAGGACGACAGGCTCCCCTAGCTCAGTCGGTAGAGCGCACGGCTCTTAACCGTGTGGTCGTGGGTTCGATCCCCACGGAGAGCGCTTTTTTCCACAAAGTCACTTCCTCAGTTCCCAAAGAGGAGGTGGTGCTGGGAAAAAAGAGTATTCCGTGCTAAGGGCTCGAGGTCACGAGGGAGAGGGGAGGCGCAAGATCTACTTGCAAAGAATCGTTCCTCAAGTAGTCCTTGACAGCACATTGGTAAAAGTGTTGTTATTAGTCGAGCATAGATAAAAAATGAACTATATCATATGAAGCGAAAGACAACGACAATAGGGAAATAAAGGTGGAATTCCTATTGTCGAGTTCTGGATGTTGAGACCTATATGGAGGGATTGAGAAAAGTACAATTTTTGCTAACCGAATCTTTAATCCCATCCTGCACTTATAAAACAATGTTTGTTTATTTGAATTCTATGTTCGCTTCTCGTGTATCATTTCTTTAGCTGTTTTAATTTTGCTTATGTGTGAATAGATATATATTTTTTAAAGGATAAAAAAAGGGCTTGATTTCCCTTTTATTGTTTCCTATTTCGTATTTTAGAGTCTTTTCTTATTATCAGGAAGACAAAAACTCACAATCTATTATTATTATTATTATGACCCACAGAATCTATGTGAGTAAGTCATTCCTAAGTTTCTCGACCTTTATTAAATTATTTATTCCTTATTATTATGGGACCCATTGGACCCACTTGTTAAATGGTATATATAGCCTCCTATTTACCCTTTTCGATGCCCTAAAAGGTCTGAGTAGGATGGAAAGCGTATACCTTGAAAATATACACTAAGAAGTAGGATGATAGAATATTCTTTTTTTTTGCATGATTCTTTAACCTGTGTTAATTTATCTCCCTTTCTATTTTATATTTCTTTATACACTTCACAGTCTATGCTTTCTTAATAAAGCAGTGGCTTATTTTCTAAGTTTTTTTTCTACAACAGTTACTTGTGTATCACAGTAGAACACTTTTTAAGTGTACGAATTTTCTTTTAAAACGAAAGCAAAACAAAAGTTATTAAAAAAAAGCAAATAGTATTACCTTATCATACAAGTGAAAAGGATACCTTAGGCTAGAAATTAAGGAAACTATAGATACATATTCCTTATACATATTTACACTTTTTGATTCTTTCTTGTCAGCTCCCCTTTTATTTTCTATTTTTTTAAAAACTCCTGGAGGTCACGTGCCAACGACCTATTTTTTTTTACTGAAATATTGTGTCACAGAAGGGTGTAGTCCTTTCCATTTAACAGTAATAAATAACCCAGAAAGAGGTAAAGGAGTATTTTACTACATTTGACAACTTAAATCTCAGTGACAAGAGGGAGGTAGAAGATACGATTGATTAAAAGTATTTAGTAAATTTTCCTTAATTTGATCTGAAACATTCAATGTACTCATTGGAGTTTAGTACCACTCGCCCCGCTGGGACCGCGCCATACTTCTCACTTGTGGTACGCGACGAGCCCTACATTGTGGGCAACATTCCGCAGAAGTGTGATGTGGTGTTGCCATGTTCAGATATTTCATCGAGTCATGCCAGTTTGAAGGTGATGCGGATGAGTGAGGCACGTAAACTTAATAAGACCGACACTGATGAGGTCATAAATGGTGAGGACCCCCTGAAGGCAGACACTAATGGCACAATGCCGCTTCCCACAAAAATATGCATACACAGCGTTGATAAGTCAAAGCCATGGCAGCTAGTAGAGAACGACCCTCTCGTAGTTGAACTCACCGCGTCGCTCTCTATGGGGATTGGTGAGATTCTTGTCCATGGACACCCCGTCATGACCGGGCAATCCGTTATAATTCGGGATCGAACGCGAGTTGAGATGGGCAGCCAAGCAGCCCTCATATTTCGCTATCGCCCACTGGTGATTTCCATTAGCCCCACCGCTTTCGGCCAGAATTACACCACTGATTTGGAGGTTATGTTCCGCCAGTTTGGGGCGACGCTATGCGACTTGACAGCCGGTACAGCTTGGGATCTAAGTCGGATACCCATCCCCGTCGGGTTACTGCACTGTACCGAGGAGCTCAATGATAGGAGGGACAATCTTCAGGCTTTAACCATGGGGTTCTCCATTGTTCAGCCTACGTATGTATTTGAGTGGTTTGCGGCGCTTGCACAGAAGTCGTCCTCCACACTCAGCGTGCTGCCACCCCCATCAAAATATACGGTTCCAATTCGCTGTCTTGGTGGCTTGAAGACCTTCAAGTACACTCGTCCAGAGCCTGAAACCTGCCCGTTCGCTCTATTCCCGTTTCCATCTACCGTGATGGAGCGCCGACATCGGGGTTCCCTTTTCAAGAATAAGGTTTTTTACTTCGCAGTGGAAGAACCATGGGGAAAGTATAAAGATATTGTAATGCGCTGTGGGGCGGCGGCGGCGTATGGACCAGATAATGTGGAGACCGCTACCGAGGCCATTCGCAGACTCGTTGAGGCACAGTCCACCACAGAATCTGGTAAGATTATGTCCTTGTATGAAATCAACAGGAATAGAAATGGCCCATTTCCGACTGATTTTTATATCATCGTGGACGTCGCAGCAGCAGCTGCAGTGCACAAGGAAGGCCTCCAAATGGCTCTGCCCAACTTGTTTCAATTTACAGACAGCGCGTGTAGCATGAACGCACGGAACATTCCTATTTTAACCGATCAAAGCCTTTTCGCATCACTTCTCAGCTGTGAATTTGTATCCAACGCCATCGAGTATTCTGCGAAACCGCCGCAGTTAAACTTACAGTCTTCCGCACTCTGCCGATTCTCAACGCACACCACACCACGTGAAAATGCCCAAAATTCTCACCCAAGATCCGCCACCCCATATCAGGATCGATATTACCATACTTACACGAACATCAAACTCACATCCACAGAGGCAATGACGACGATTTCGCCGACACGATCACATGGTGAGTGTAATGACAGCTCAGCTGCATTATGCCGACTCCCTTCAGAGTCTCGGGTGATGAAGCGATCGGGATCTTCGACGCGAGTTCGGTCTTCTTTGCGACGTGGGACATCCGCTTCCAGAGTTTTCCCAGGAAACCCTTTGCCATTTATGGAGCACTGCACGATGACGCGAAGTCAGATGCGCGCGTCGAGTCGCCAGCGAGAACGTCCCTCTTCGGCGATGGCAAACTCCGATCAGCATCCACAATCGTCATCCCCTTCGTCCGCTCGTCATGGTCGTCGGCACTTGCTTGACCAGCCTATTCTAACTTCCACAGGACTTTCTGTTGAGGCGCGCTTTAACATTTTGAGGATCCGCATCTACGCTTATATTATCCACATGGATACGAAGTTAGAGAGCGCCATCGTGGTATACCAGCGCGGACGCTACGTTGAGCAAGAGTCGATGAAGTACGCCATGGAGGGCCTTGCCCAGGCTGAAGATTTCATGGAGCAGGTGGATGCCCTCTTAGAAGAGTGCGGCGGGAGTTCGATCGCGGATTCTTTGCAATGCTTCTGGAAGGACTGCTATGACTTAGCGGTGAAGGCTCGGCGCGTGTTAGATTTTTGGCGGTGCAAGAGCCGCCACGGCACGCCACGGGTCATCCCGAGCACCGCCCCCGAACCCACTCAACCGGACCTCCGTAATTCGCCCCGCCATTCCTCCATCGAGGACTCCATGACGACGCAGAGGGCGAGCATGCATAGCACACCGGCGAGCACGCACCTTCGTCAGTTCACCGCGCACCCGTCCCACACCTCGCGGGCGCGGGAGCACCACCAGGTCTACCTCAGCGGCCGCCCCATGTCGCGCTCGCCGTCCCATGCCCGGTCCTCGGCCCGGCAGGAGGGCCCCCGCCCGGCCCGGGTGCCCTCC